AAAAAAGTTTTCTTTGGACAATCACTAGAAAATTTCTACTTTCACATCTATAGTAATTTATATATAGAACTGCGTCACGTTTTACTATGATCATTCTTCAGTTAACTGGAGAATCGTCAATTAAATAAAAAATAATTTATTTATCTTCTTTTTATTATTTATATTTTTCATATTATTTTGATTTATTTTTTTTTTCTTATTTTTATTTATTTTATTTATTTAAATTAAACTACAAAATTATATACATATATGAAACAGAGTTAGAGGATCAAGAAAAAAAGTAAACTGTGTTAACCTGTAAATCTGGTATGTTGTAATTAAATGATATAGCTTTGGTTTTTGATTTTGGTCTGGTAAGTCAGCCCTTATTGTATTTTTTCAATTAGCTCAGGGATCTTAATACTCGTATAGGTAAAACCGTGAGTATGTATAGTGCCTCTATTTTGGAATTCGTCATGTTCGAAATAATTTTCAAGTTTACCCATTGTGTTAATTTTATATTTTTCTATAATTTATTGCGTATATTAGCAAGCTTATAGTGATAGAATAAGTAGACATATAGTGGTTGGTTTGTTGGTAATGGATCTCTGTTGTTGATTGATAATAAAATTTCTTTAAGATGACTCCATTTATCTTCTGTTATGGTCATTGTGTAGAAGATTTGTGACAATCTGTAAGTTCAGAGCATTGTATTTACTTGAAGTTCTTTTTTTTTGAAATAAGGAGCTGCAGTTCTTAAGCTCGATCCTATGGTAGTTGTTTTTGATTCATCGATCATAGGCCGACCAATATATACACTTTTTGCTGCAAATATAATAGAAATTTTAGTTAATGATGATTTGTCTTTATATTTACAAATTTTTTTGAAATTTTTTTTAATTAAAAGTATAGAAAAAAGAAAAAACTCGAATATATACGAAAACATAGTATATACGTATATGTATACATATATGCATTTTTTTATGAAAATAATAGATAAGTAATATAAGCATACCTATAAAGTTGGCCCTTGTTGGGTGATGCTCTCGTGATATGTTTTTTTGATTTAACAGCCTATAGTTGTACTGAAAATTACGTCTTTTTTCCAGATTTAAGTATGATCAGTATAGCCAGTACTAATGTAATCTAAACCTCGGATCAGGACAGAGCATTCTAAGTTTGATATACTTTCTGTAGCTCTCTGTGCTTAATTGAAGGTCTAGTTGGCTGTATATATTTTTATAATGACCTTTTCTATTGGGAAATAGGTCTGGGAAGATCATTGCTTCAAAGTCAGAGTCACTATAAGGTACTAGTAGGGTTAAGTCGTCTAAACTCATAAATCCGGCTATGAGTCTTTTATACCTTAAGTCTTCGTTGTATATCTCAGGAGGAAATTCATTATTTGAGATAATGATGTCAGGGATTGTGGAGTTATTTTGTAACAGAGTGGTGTTGGTGTTTTCCTAAGATTGTCTTGCCAAAGGTAGAGGAATCAGAGATGGATTTGATGGATTGGAGGATGATATCTGGTAAAAATGTATACTGACAAATATTGTGTTATTTCTTTTTAGCCAATCACTGGTGACAGGAAGGTCTTATGATACCAGCGTGCCAGCTCATTTTGGTCTAAAAAAGCACCGATCATACCAAAGAATAATTCAAGTGAGTGCATGTTTTTGCTTAAGAAAAAATCGCCTTGTAAAAATCAGTATGTAGTATAGAGATTTGATTCTAGAGTGCGACCTAATAAACATATCATGTGGATCGGTGAGAGATATTTTTTGTGTTTCATTGATACCAGGCTTATTTCACAAGGTACTTTTGTCAAAACAAGGGGAAATCTTCTGTTTTTTAGGTTTTTACAGCTTCTACAGATGGCTACTTTACTAGGTTTGTTAGTAAAATAGCGAAGGTAAACAGGTATCTCAAGAAATACTACACGTAAAGTGTAATCTTCATTCGGATCATATGTTATCCACTGGGTCGAAGAACAATACATTAAAATTGAACAGTAACAGCAAGGAATTTGAGGGTGATCATGCAAAATTTTTGTTTTGAATTCATGAAGGAGTTTTTTCAGCATAGGGAATGGTCTCCAGGGCGGAAAATGCAAGGTTAAATTGGTTGATTGGTTATGTTGTGATGTTTGCACAGAATTGTTTATACCAAATTGATTTATTTTATTGCGATAAATATAAGATTGGAAGATGTTAACATCACTTGTGTTTGAGTTTTCTTTATTGAAGTTTAACGAAATATTGTTCTCGTATTCATAAATAGAGAAGTGTTGAATAGAATAATTTAAGTTTCTACTCATGTTTAAGATTTGTATATTAAGTTAGATAAATTCAAATTTTGCAGATTAAGATGGTAATATATGTTTTTTTTTTAAATTAATATTTAATTTTTTTTTTTTCTGCTTTAGTTACGAGATTTTTTAATGTTAATTTGATAAAATAAATCTTGAGGCATAGCTTTTATATGCTATTCACAGGTTAATGTTGACGTCTCATTTATTCATATTTACTTTATTATTAATTTCGATTTAATAATAAGCTAATGTAATTGTTATGGTCAATTAATAGATCTTATTTTATTGTTTAGATAAAGAATACAAAACAAAGTGTGATGTATTTAATTAGGGGACAGCATTTTCGAATATTTAAAAATAGATAATCTGGTGTATTAAATTTTAGAGATTATTCGATTATTTTTAGGGTGTATTATCATCATCATTATCAAGATTATTTGGTTGTTCTTCATCTGAATATAGGCCGTCAGTATCAGTTTCAACTTTGGCATGTGAAGGTTCGTCAGATCGAGTTAAAACTACAGCATTTTGTTGATCTTCTGCTTTCTTATCTCCTAGATTTTTAAATTATTAGTATAATTGTTCAATAGTAAAGTTAGCATAATCAATATTATTAATTTATTTATCTTTATTATAGTTGGTCTCTCATACAATTATACAGTTAGTTGGTAGTAAATTGGTTTAATTAAAAACGTGCTTATAAGAGATGTGCTTATACAGAGTTTACTTTTTATAAACTAAATGATGGCCTGGTCTAAACGCAATTATTTGAAGGAAGGATTATATTTCATTTTTTTCTATTTGTTTTTTTATTCATTTTTTATTTATTTTTTAATTTCTATTTAATTTTTTATCTATTTTTGATTATTTTTTATTTATTTATTTATTTTTTTTTATTTTATTTTTTTATTTTTATTTTGTTTTTTTTTTATATTTTTAATTTTTTATTATCTCACCTTTAACTTCGTTAATTTCATCTATTGCAAGTTTCAATCTTTTCGCTCTTGAAGAGCTTTCTTCTTGTGGGTCATCATTTACCCTTTCTGTTATATTGCGAGATTGGTTTTTATTAGGGGGTGGGCTAAATTTTTCTACCAATTTTTCTAACTCCTTGTTTCTTAATTTTCTATCTTTTATTGATTTATTATTACCAGTTTTAGAGTTCTCCTGGTTCAGATAAGTTTATTCAATCATATCACATACTACACATACAGATCTTTTCAGTAGAACTAATTCACCAGCTACCGAGATTATAGATTGATGTTTCATAGCATCGGCCACGTTAACATGACGACCTTTGGGATCATATTTACACAAAATGGACATCGTTACTTGAGACGCAGTTACGCTATTATAAGATTCTCTTTTTAGACGGAAAGCTGCATTATCACCGTCTGGAGTGCTAGGGTCTTGAACCGGAGCTGTGAAAATAGCAAAGAGTGGAGATATTGGGAGATCGTATATTGATAAGTAATCTTCTAACATTTGAAGGTTAAGAGGGGTATTCTGTTCAATTATAACCTTAGATGGTAAAAAAAAAAAAAAAAAAAAGAAAAGGATGAATGAATAATTATTAAATTAACATAACGGTAACATTAGCAAATTTATAAGACTATCCCTTAAACTGTAGGCTTTTCCAGGCAAATTTGCCTGGAAAATTATCATAAATATTGTTATAATCTACTTTTTT